ATCTAATAATCTCTGTGGTCCTAAATCTCATTCCTCACCCACACGTTGGCCATCCACTTACTGTTCCCCAAAAATGCCTCTGTGTACCTTCCAAACTCAGTATTTTACTTGTGCCTTTCCCCCCGCCACAATACTCCCCCCAACATCCCTGATGAAGGTTTTCCCAACCCTTGCAAGATGGGCTTGAAGAACCCATCCTTCGGCCGGGCGCGGTGGCTCAGGTGGCTCACACCTATAATCTCAGCCCTTTGGGAGGCTGAGGCGGGTGGGTCACAAGGCCAAGAGATCGAGACCATCCTGGTCAGCATGGTGAAACCCTGTCTCTACTAAAAAATGCAAAAATCAGCCGGGCATGGTGGCGTGTGCCTGTAGTCCTAGCTACTCGGGAGGCTGAGGCAGAAGAATTGCTTGAATTCAGGAGGCAGAGGTTGCGGTGAGCTGAGATCTCGCCATTGCACTCCAGCCTGGGCAACAAGAGCGAAAGCTCCGTCTCAAAAAAAAAAAAAAACCCCATTCTTCACAAAATGTGCCTTTCATCACATTCTCTGAGATCCTTCCCCATCAGGCCTGAAGCAGTCCTCCCACCTCAGCCTCCCAAAGTGTTGGGACTACAGGCATGAACCACTACACCCAGCCTGGGCATGTCTTAGTTAGATTTCCACTATAAGGGAGTGCTTTCCCTTCTACATTATTTATATTCTCATGGACTTAATGGTTGTCTGTTTTACTCAATGGGTTATATATAACCCATTAACATCATTCTTTATTTTGATGTTCAAAATGCCCCAGATTTGGCCAGTAGGAAGCCCTCTAAGCCCCTGTGTCCTGTGGCACGTCTCCATCTTTTTTTGAGCCCTGTTTTCTGGCACCACAAGATGCTCCGGGCCCATGTTATACTTTCCCTGCTCCAGCCCCGGAATCAGCTGTTTTTCCCAAGGAGCCCTGCTTCTTTTTAGTAGAGAATGACATTTAGAAACCAAGATTTGGGTACTAGGTATTATTCCAGCAATATTTTAAGAGCTTGCTCTTTTATTTTGTAAAAGTTTGAATATCCATTGATGGTTTTCAAGCTCCATCATTCCTTCTATATAATTTAGAATTCTACTTTGCCTTTTCTTTCACTTTATTTACCTATATCAATGGGGAGTCATGGATTTTTATTTTAATCAGTGAGTTATAATCCACTACTATCATAATTCATTTTGAATTAACATTATTTTGGATAAATCTTTTTATTGTTATGTATATTAAGCACATACTATACATCTATATTTCTCTCTCTGTCTCTGTCTAATAGACCATGAATTCACACAGATACCTTGAGGAGGCTCTTTTAAGAGTCCAGGCTAGAGATAGTAAAAGGCTCACAGGAGGAGTGGAAGATGGCGAGGGGGAGGGGATGGATTCTAGAGCTATTTAGGAATTAGAACCAACAGCTCCAATCTACTTCAGAACTGGAAGAGACCCAATTTTACAAATAAAAAAAGTGATACACAAAGTTACTGTCACCCAGTTGATCCACAAAACATAAACGGGGTGAGTGTGGTTTCCAGCCCAGACAAGCCTTCCAGTCACTGTTCTGCACCAACTTCATGTCAGACCCAGGTGGATGTTGTCTCCCGGGTGAATGGGTGAGGCCAAGCCAGCCCCCAGCCCAAGATGAGCTCCCTGATGTGTCCCAATTCTTAAATCCACAGCGCCCAGACTCTGGTTGGTCTCTAGCAAGACCCGTTGCTTGGGAAAGAAATCCGTTTCCTGGATGCCTTACTACGTGGGGAACACAATGTGAGACTATTTCTTTTTTTTTTTTTTTTTTGAGATGGAGTTTCGCTCTTGTTACCCAGGCTGGAGTGCAATGGCTCACCGCAACCTCCGCCTCCTGGGTTCAGGCAATTCTCCTGCCTCAGCCTCCTGAGTAGCTGGGATTACAGGCACGCGCCACCATGCCCAGCTAATTTTTTGTAGTTTTTAGTAGAGACGGGGTTTCACCATGTTGACCAGGATGGTCTCGATCTCTTTGACCTCGTGATCCACCCGCCTCGGCCTCCCAAAGTGCTGGGATTACAGGCGTGAGCCACCGATCTGAGACTATTTCTAAGCAGAATTGTATGGCAGTCAGACAGACCTGGGTTTGAGTTCTGGCCCTGCCACTTACTAGCCATGTGACTTGAGTGAGTTTACACTTCTCTGAGCTTCAGTCTCTTTACCTGTAGGATGGGGATAACAATACCTACTTCATGGCACCTGGCCCTTGATGAATGGCAGTCATCGTCATTTCTAATCCTCCTAACAACACTGTGAGAAAGGGATTATTTAGCTTCATTGTATAAAGGAGAAAATTAAGGCTCAGGGAGGTGAGGTACTTGGCAGATCTCAGTGGGTACATGTCAGCTCCAGGAAAATAGAGACTACATCTGTCTTGGTCACCATTATATTCCCAGTGCCCAGAAAATTGTCTGGTACATAGTAGAAACTTAATAAATACTTGCAAATGAATAAATTCTATCTCACTGGCTTCAAAGACTATGTAATTTCTATTTGATCTTCCAGGACAGGGGGTGTGTCTGGGCTAAAGACCTCAAAGAACGGTGTAGGAAGCCTGTGCAGAGCTGAGACCCAAAATCTGGCTTCCCGATTCCTGATTCCTGCTCTTTGTCCATCCCTGAACTGCCTCCAGTTGGGAAGGCTGAACTTCCTTCAGTCTAGGATCTACTGTATTCTCCCACCTTCTAGGTTCTCCTCACCCTTCTCTGGCCAGGCCTTTGCCTCCTTTTCATCTGCTTCTTCAACCCCCCCCCCCCCCCCCACCACCACCACAGTCACAGCTATGAAGGCCTGAGGGTGCTGACCAATGGGCAGTACAACCTCCAGGTCCTGCATGCCCCGTATGTCCAAGGACTGGGCCCTGCCCTGCCACCCTACCTCCCACACCGGCAGCCTCCTCTTCCCCCACCTCCTCTATTCCTGGTGAGGGTAAACGACAGGAAGAGCATTTGACCAGAGTCAGCAACTTCCTGTGTAACATTGGGCAAGTTGTTTAATCTTTCTAGAACTTGGTTCCTCATCTACAGACTGGGTAAATTCACCTACATCTTTCCGAAGACTGTTGCAAAGATTAAGGGAGGTAATTGGTATGAACCAGCCAGGTAGGCGATTAGATGCTTATTCATGTGAGAAGCTAGTGATATTAGCATCACTTTGCCTAGCTTTCCTGCTTCCTGTCCAGACAGCTGTTCAGTTGGATCATTCACCTGTGTTTCTGGTGGACAGGGGTCGAGGGTTCCCCTGGCACCTAGAAAGCTAGAAAAATATCACTTAATATCTGTGTTACTTGGGACAAGTCTCCACATAAGCCAAGTGGGGATAAAGATCTTGAACATTTAAGGTAATATAAAGATTCAGGTGATAAAAAATACAAAAGCACTACACAATGTCTGACACAAAGGAGATTCTTAATGAGTTTCGGCATACTGGTTGTTGACTCTCAGAAATAAAAATAACAGCTACCAGATACTGAGGGCCGGCTATGTGCCAAGTACTGTATAACAATTCTGCAAGGTATGTATTATCCCCATTTCTGTTACAGAAGCTGGGACTTGTTCAAGGTTATAAACTAGAAAGTGGCAGAGCTGGTGGGACTGCAAGGCATGACTCTTTGAGCCCAGGGTGTAAGCTCTTATCTGTGTGCCCTGTTCCCTCAGCTAAGATGTCCTTAGCTCAGTCTTGAAGTGGGCAGGATGGACCTAATTGGCACAGTATCTGATTAAGAACAGTTAACTGCTTGAAGGAATGACACTCCCTACCCACCTCAAGCTTATAGTGGACGTTCAATATGTTAAACAGGAAATGTTTGCAAAAAGTATGCAGATTTTTCAGTCAATATATACTAAGGACATTCATTTTCTTTTGTTTACTCAACATTCTTTTACTGGTTAACATTTGAAGTGCTAAGGATGTATAAAGCCACGTGGTCCCTGCCCTAAGGAATTCATAGTGTGAAGGGGGAAAACAAAAACACTTAATCAGCATGTACACAAGTACTCAAATATGTGTACAGTAGGTGCTCAAACTATATGCAGTAGGTCCACAGCTGATGAATGACATAGATGATCCTCCCATCAGTAGATTTCTGATATATGTGTACAAAGTACTGGTTTGATACTTATTCAAAGTACTGTAGTTGCAATGAACCTATTCAGAAACTGCTCAAGGAATATGCACACGATAGGACCAAATGTACATAGAGTGGGTACCAAATGCACAGGGGCTATACACAATAAATACAATCAAAGTACACGGATGTTTGGTAAGTACACTGCAGGCTCACAAATGGGCAAACAGGTGTTTTACACGGTAGGCACTGAATAAATACGCCATTGCTAAACATCCGTAGTTAAAATATACATACACACAGGCTTATTTTGTAGGAGTATATGCCACAAATGTGTACACGGTAAAAGTGAATACAGAACAGTTGAAAGCAGTTATTAAAATGCTGACTGCCAGTGACTTTTGGGGGGTAAGAATGGAAACCCCATTTCTCTACTTGTAACCTTGGATGAAATAAAGACTTCCTTCATTTACTTGGGACCCAGGATTCTAAAAGTCCATAATCCCCGGGGAGTAAGCAGCTGCCTTCCTTCCTTATTTCAAAGCCCAAGAGGTGTCAGTGTCTAGAGCTGGAGCCTGGTACATCTTCCCCCCAATCCCGTGGGCCAGCAGAAGGGGTCCTTTGCAATCAGCATCCCAAAGCCGCCTTCCGCGGCCCACACCGGCAAGACCAGGGAGAAAAGACAGAGAACGCTGGGGCGGGGCTAGCGTAGCGACCAGGTTGAGGTTTGCGAGGGAGTGCCGGTTTAGCTCCACCACCCACGGACACCCGCTCCTCTTCCGGTCTGTCCATAACGCGCATGCGCATCACTGGCCTTTAAACGTGCACCGCCGGTCCATCCGGAAAGAGGAACCGGCAGACTAATTACAATCTTGTTCCTCCGCCGTTGCACTGAACTATTTTCTCTCAGTCGGGGGTTGTACTTTTGAGTAACCCCTTCCAAATAGAAATCCATACCAGCCTATTTAGCTCGGTCTCCACTATATGAAGGTTTCCTAGGGCTTGGTGTGACGCAAGGCATACGAGGCTCTGAAGGACACACCGCGGAAGGATCCGGTTTGTTGTGGTGTGGGGAGGGGGGAGACGCTGACAAACCAAGATGGCGGCGGCGGCGATGAAGGCCGCGGTGTTTGGGAGGTAACTGGTGGCGAAGGCTGCGGTAGTGGGGAGGCAACGGCGCAGTTTGGGAGAAACGGAGCAGAACGAAGAGGTGGTAGCAGTAGCATTAGCCTGAGACTCTCAGAGCACGACACCTACACGCCCCCCTAGGCCCTCGGCGGGCGGCGGCTGCGCTGCTTAGGGCCTAGCCTCCGAGCATTGCCTCGGTTTCAAATAGCGGCGGCGCCATGAGTCCTTAAGGGCGGTCCAAGCCCTCCTGATCCCTGGCCCAGACCTCGGGCCCACCATGGATCCGGGGTCCGACGATTTTCTACCGCCCCCGGAGTGCCCGGTGTTCGAGCCTAGCTGGGCCGAGTTCCGAGACCCTCTTGGCTACATCGCCAAGATCAGGCCCATCGCAGAGAAGTCGGGCATTTGCAAGATCCGCCCACCCGCGGTAAGCCCCGGGGCCGGTTTTCACCGGCGGCGAGGCGGGGAAGTCTGGGGCGGAGGGCAGCTCGAGGTGGGGAGGGGGGGTGGCTGGGACCGTTGTGGATGTGGCGCGTATCGGAAAAAGGTGTTGGGCCAGGGGGTCCTCTCGTGTGAGGCCCACAGGTGACCTGGAGTCAGAGATCCACCCCCACCCCCGCTCTTCAAAATCACTCCAGGTTTAAGACAGGGATTCCTAGTGGGCCGGGGAGAGTTCCCAAAGAGGCACCCCGCACATCTCTTAGTTAACCCGGGCTTCCTACGTTGACGCTGTAAAAATAAGGCGTTTCTCCAGTCTGTTGTCATCACTTCCCTTAAGGCAGGCAGCATGGTATAGGATTAATAGAAAGATCGCAGCCCTGAAGAGAGACAAATTTGAGTTCAAAACTGCACTTTGAAGCTTAGCAGCTGTGTGACCTTGGGAAAGTAGAAGTAATCTCTCCGAGCCTGTAAAATGGGTCCCAGGAATGGTTATTTAGAGGATGGAATTAAACTAGGTAGCGTCTGTGTGTAGTAGGCACTAGATAAGTGGTAATTATTGTGACTATGAGGGTGTTTGATGTGGTCATTGGTTTATTCCTACGTAGGTTGACTCATATTTACTCATACCCTGCTAGGCCAATTCATCTGTGATAATATCCTGGCCTGCTGGACCAGTCGGGAAATCAGTCTCACAGGGATTTCTCTATCTGTCTCCCTTAAGGTGGATTCAGGGGATTGTCCCCTTCTTTTCCTTGTTGAAGGCTTTTTCTGCATATCATCCCCCAGACTTGACTTCTGTGGAGATGTTTGGACCTGTCAGCTTGGTGGTGGGGTGTGAGTCCTTCTCAGAAGATTTCTGCTCTGCTCTGGTTCAGGATGTAGGAGATCCCAGAGGATAGGGCACTCTTGGGCCCCCAGCACAGAATGGAGCCATGGAATTCTGTCCCCTTTGGAACATGATTCCCAGGGGTCAGCAAGAAGGGCCGTAGCTTTCTTCCTAGGCCTGGCTTCAGGCTAGAAGCCCTCCAAGGGCTAGGGCAAGCTGCTGCCTTGCTGGCGTGGTGGAAAATGATGATAACGTTGTTCAGTGATCACTTGGAACTCCAAGGGCAGAAATTGAGCTTTGCTGGAAAAGGGTGTTTTTGAGTGGGTGTCTCCTGGCTGAAATCGAATAGGAAGCTTTATTCCCACCTGAGGAGGGCACCACAGTTCTCCTTATCCAACTTAGTGCTTTCTGGTGCTCAGCCACATATCTAGGATGGTTTCAGATAGATCCTCTAGGAGGTGTTGGGTAAACTAATATCTTCCTTGTTGGAGCCTGGCCACAGATCTCTGAGGTATCCTTGTCCATGGTGAGGGAGTGGCAGTAGGTAGAGGGGTCAGGAAGGCTAGTGGAAGGGAGAGGCAGGAGTCCTGGGCAGCCCCAGGGAGGCACTCCCTGAAGTGGTTGGGCAAGCCTGTGGGAAAAAGAGGCATAGCTGACATAGGGGGTAGCTGAGGCCTGAATTCCGTTTTTCTATCTTGGACTGACTTAGGCTGTCCTTGTGCAGGTGTTGTTACCCTGCTGCTTTGGGGGAACCAGAAAGGAGAAGAGTGACATGTCGCAGGTGTGCGTGGCCAGCAGGAGGCCATCCTTTGTTATGCTTCTTTTCACTGCTCAACAGTGTGCTTCCCTCTAATCCAGGAGAGACCTGGCTCCTGGATTAGAGGGAGCCAGGTTTTGTTTTGTCCTTCTCTAGGGCGGCTCCTAGGCCACCTTTAGGCAGCTGGCCTTCTTCTGGTTGAAGTTTGAAGTACTCGCTCAAATGATGCTTGGGCCCAGGGTGGGAACCTGTATATGGGTGGGTGCCTGGATATAGGAGGTTTGCTGGAGGAAGGATCGTTTGGGGCCTAAATTGCTAGGCAGGGGACTGCTACACTTGGGAAAGATGGGTGGGAGGAGAATGTGGGTACCCTGAGTAGACCCAGGGGAGTTTGGAAGGATCTTGCTTTCTTCATCAGGTAGCCAGCCTTTTTTATCACAACATCCCGTTAATACCAACATACTGAGCATTTGGCATACAGTAGTCTGGAAATGAAGGCAGGCGGTTTGCAGGGCCCTTCTAAGTATCTGTTGCATCCATGGCTCCTGCTGTAGCGTTCCAGGGCTGCCATTTCCTGTCAGGTGCTGATGTTGCTCTGTTTGTCTAGAACTTGATTCAGCAGAAAAGAAGGGTACCCAGGGTTTTGGGTTTGAGCACCTTTTTACCTGGGTTACCTGTGCTGAGGGGAGTGCCCTATCCTGATGAGAGGCAAGAGGGCATGGGGAGCTTGTCTGGATTTGAGCCATACCATTTTGGACTGCCCTTTTTTTTTTTTTTTTTTTTTTGCCCCTGCTTACTGAGCACCAGATGTTTGCCACCTGCTTTGGCTGGTAGGGGAAGGGGAGTGTGGTCTGTGTATGCATGGAAGTATGAGTGCTCTGGCCCATATTCTTAAGAGTGTGTGTGCAGAAGAGGTCAATAGTTTTTCTTCTCTTTTACTGTTGCCCCGCTTCCATATGTATGCATGTATGTTTGAACACTGATGTCTGGTGTAGTGCAGAGGCCTTGGATCAGAGGTCAGAAGATGTGGGTTCTTGGCTCCACCACTAACTCAGCATGTAATTTTGGAAATTTCACTTATTTTCTCTGTGCCTCACATTCCCTATCTATAAAAGCAGAGCATTGGTTTAGGTTACTTTAGGTTCATTTTCCCACCCCAGCAGCAGCCAGGGCTCTGGGAAGGAGAGGACTGCAAAGGAGGTTGGAAAGGGGTGTTAGGGAGTGTGTTCTTCACATCTGACCTTTGGGCAAGACAGAACAAGCTCCAACTTGGCAGGGCAGGGTTTCTCCCACTTTCATGATCTTTCCCTGACTTCCCTTACCAAATCCTCCCATTCTTTGCCACCAAAGTCCAACGTCCCAGCACTTACCCCACCCCCTGGGGCTTCCTCCCCTGCCTCTTCCTGTACCAGGCAGGTGTATGAGAGGATCCACAGGAAGCCCTCCAGACTGGGTGAGTGTTATACATACTTGCTCCCTGTTCCTGCAGTGTCTATCTCAGGCCCTTTAAACTGAGAGAACAAACATTAAAGGCCCAAACCTTTACATCCAGCCAGAATCGGAGCTGAGCTGCCCTGCATGTGTATTGTGAGGGTGGTCAGCCTTAGACGTCAAGTCAATGATGACTCCTTTGAATAACATTTTCGTTTGAAAACTAGTTTTAATTTTCCATATTGGTCTTGTGAGGAAGCCAGGGCTAGAATTCATATTCCCACCTTACAGATGAGAAAATAGGTTCAGAAAGCTAAAATCTCATAGCTAGTAAGTAGCAGAGCTAGAACATGAACCCATATCTTCTGAATCTAGATCCTGTGTGCTTTCCAGTACTCCAAGGACTGTGTGTCCTATAGCACATCCCTAAGGGATTAGGAATTAAATGTGGATGTGGAGAAGGTTTATGGTCAACAAAACAGAGGTTCCATCTCTTAATTTCTTGAAATCCTGGAACTGTACTGTTGGGTGGGACTCAGGGGAAGTTTCCTAGGGCCTGTGCATGGGGCCTTGGGTGTGGACTTGAGGGGCTGCTAGACTCTTGTGAGTTCTGGGGGGATGTGAGGGTGGGTGGATGGGTAGGATGTTTGTAGGTAAAGGGTCTGGAGTAGCTAGAGGTCTGGGAAGGTGCGAATAGGATTCTGAGCTGCTTTTGATGCCTTCTGGTCTTATACAATGGTGAAATAACTCAAGTCTCTTTCCTCTCTCTACTCTCTTAGGACTGGCAGCCACCCTTTGCTGTGGAAGTGGACAACTTCAGGTTTACCCCCCGAATCCAGAGGCTGAATGAACTAGAGGTGAGAAGACTAGAAGCTGGTGGCGGGGTTGGGAGAATGGATACCTGAGCTCTAATCCCACTTCCTTATAGTTTCTCTGGCCGAGGTACTTTACCTAGCTAGGCCTTTATTCTCTCCTCTCTGAAATTGTATTTCTTTAGTGTACCCAGGGCATGGAAGAAGCTTTAGAGTTCTAAATATAACCAAGAGCCAGGGGCATTTAGCATTTGTGATTTGATAGCCTGAAGGCTGGGGACATATATGTCACAAAGGTCTGTTAGTTCTGAAGCTCCCCTGTGAACTAGCCTACCCTAGTTGAGTCAACAAAAAGGAAATGTGGAACTGGCTGATACGCTTTCTTCCTTGGCCAGCTGAATGTGGCTTATACAATTCGTCCACAGCCCTGTGCTTTCTACTTTCCTTCCGTGGGTGCTTGGTAGGGTGGGAGTTGAGATAGATGGGCAGAACAACACAAGAACTGGCCTCTGTGAAGGCTGGAATGGTTAGAGACTTGGCCAGGGGTCAAGCAGGTAGGATTTTCCTTCTTCCTTTTGTTCTGTGCAGGAAGTCCAGGCTCTTTTCATGGACAGGTGGGGCTCCCCCCTCCCCTTGAGAATGCTCTGGGGTAATGAGAGTAGGGTCCCTAAAGCCAGTTCCAGGTAAGATCCTGGAGTTTTCCATGGAAGCTCTAGGTTAGGTATGTGCTGCCACTCCCTCCCCCATTATTATGTATCCACAAGTCTTAATAGATGTCCGAGGGGTGGCAGATTAGGCCCAGGCCAGCTGAATACTTATACCCTAGAAGCTCACTTGTGTTATAGACCAGAGTGCTTCAGCCTTGGCACTATTAACATTTTGGGAAGCTAAGGTTGCTTGAGCCCAAGAGTTCAAGACCAGCTTGGGCAACATGGCAAGACCCCTCTCAATAAAGAAAAATATATCTGGTCAGGTTTATAGGGGTACAGCTTGGGCAAGGTGTTGCCTAGCATGAGACAAGGGCAGGTTTTCTACAGAGGGAGTGCTGGCTAATGAGAAGGAGCAGGGATGGGGCCAACTTTAGAAAGCTAAGGGGCCGAGGTTGAGGGAGTACTTCCTGGCTCTTTGAGGGTTCTCACAGCCAAGGAACTGGAGGTTGTTTCTTTCCACAAATAGACTTTAGTTTTTCTCAACTATGAAATGGAAAGAACCATCTTTGTTCCTCCTAATAGGATTGGGGCAAGGTAGTGAATGGTAATGGCTGTCTAGTTCTTCCAAGAACCAGGCCCTCTGGAGTGAGGAGGTTATAGACTTGGGGCCTACGGGAGTCCTTGGGTTACTGAGATTTCAGGGAAGCATGATACATATCTTGTTCCTAGTCTCTTTGGCCCACACTGGGTCCTGGGTTGGCCAGGTGCTAGTGCTACTATGGTATACCATCTCTTAGTTCTAGGCCATTCTGCCTGTAGTTATAGCATGCACTTTCACCTGTCAGCTACCATGGAACAAGTTTGGTGGTGCCTAAGGAGGTACATGTGCCTTTTTGGAGCTTTCATTCTCTGAAACATGTCTAGAGCTTAGATATAATTCTGAAGTTTCCAGAGGATCTTCACTGGTCCCTCATTAAGTCTACCCCTCTGGGTTAAGTGGACTATGCAGTTATTTTCCTTTTATAATTATTAATAAAAGAAAAAAGGAGTCCACAGTGGAACTGATTTGCTCAAGGCAATATAGCAAATCAGTAGCAGAGGGAGAGCCAAAGCTCAAGTTATTTGGCACCAAAATATCTTGATGTTTGCCATGTGACCTAACTTCTCTGAGCTTCTGTTTCCCCATCTGTACAGGAAATGATAATACGCACACAACCCTGTCAGGGAGATTGAGAGAGGATGTATCTGAAGCCTTTGGCAGTTGTGACCCTCTCTGTTGGGACCTTGGGCTTCTCTGGTTGACTAGAAGGTGACAGAAATGAGAGAGAGGTGGCTGGGTGCAGTGGCTCACGCCTGTGATATCAGTTCTTGGGGAGGCTGAAGTGGATGGATTGCTTGAGCCTAGGAGTTTGAGACTAGCCTGGGCAATATGGTGAAACCTCATTGCCAAGCACTGCCTAGAGTCTGGGATCTGGTTCATTGGGAGAAGCCCTGGGTACTAAAAGTGTGAACTGCATTATTCCTTTCTCCTCCCCTAAGATTGGACTCAAAGATAGTGGTCAGTGGGAAGGGGTGGCCAGCCTCTTTGAGCCATTTCTTCTTCAGGCCCAGACGAGAGTGAAACTGAACTACTTGGACCAGATTGCCAAATTCTGGGAAATCCAGGGCTCCTCCTTAAAGATTCCCAATGTAGAACGGCGGATCTTGGACCTCTACAGTCTCAGCAAAGTAAGAACAGGTTTTCGTCGAACACCCCCCACCTCGCCCCAATATCCTTGGTATTCTGGGGGCTCCCTTGGTTTGGATATTAGATCTATAGGCTGCAGTGGAAGGGGCACAGCTTAGTAGCACACAAGCTGTCATCAGAACAACTTGGAATCTTTTGCTGCAATTTGAGGTTGGGAGAAGGGAGTAGCCCCCAGTGAAGTGAGGGACTGAGTTGCCCTCATTGCCCTTTTTGCCCTTTCTACAGGCCTGCTCCCTCATATAAATACACATGGCACACCCATGTCTTTTCCTGCTTGTTTTTGCAGATTGTGGTGGAGGAAGGTGGTTATGAAGCTATCTGCAAGGACCGTCGGTGGGCCCGGGTAGCCCAGCGCCTCAACTACCCACCAGGCAAAAATATTGGCTCCTTGCTACGCTCCCACTATGAACGCATCGTTTATCCCTATGAAATGTACCAGTCTGGAGCCAACCTTGTGGTAAGGATGTCACAGTGGGGTAGGATGCGACTTTACCCTTCAGCACAAATTTCCACACTTGCTCTTAATGGAACTGGTTTAGTGGACTGGAGACCTGGCAGTTGGACTCTGCTCTTTCCTAGTGACGCTTATTCTCTTTCTCACTGCTCAGGGTCAGAAGTCCTGGAGTTATCTGTAGGGCTAGCTTATTTGTTATATGACAGAGTTCTAACTGATAGAAAAATCAGAGAAGGGAGAGCTTGGGCTAGAAAGGTATGGGAAGAGATGGTGTCTTGATTTAGTTGGGGAGACGGTTGGTGGAGGAAGTGACTAGAAGGAGGAATGAAACAAGCAGAGGCACTGAGATTTCCCAAAGTGTGTGCGGGTGTCAGTGCTAAAGTGGAACAGGAGCTATTGGTGTGGGTCAGGTGAGTGGACTGCAACTTTGGTTGCCATTGGGTGAGGGTAGAGGGAAGTTCTTGCTTTTGTGGGCTGTAGTCCCATGTCCTGACCATTACCCCTCATCTGTCCCCAGCAATGTAACACACGTCCATTTGATAATGAGGAGAAGGACAAGGAATACAAACCCCACAGCATCCCCCTACGACAGTCTGTGCAACCTTCCAAGTTCAACAGCTATGGCCGGCGGGCCAAGAGACTGCAGCCTGATGTGAGTACTCCCCTTCTTTGAACTTAGAGCTTTGGGGTGGAGGGAGTCCTCTCCTTCCCTCTGGCTAAGACTATGTTCCCTGTTCCACTATCCCTTCTTTTGTTCTCCGAGTTCTTCTGACCGTTAGTGTGCCTCTCTCTGGCTTTACTCTTGCTTTTTTCTCCCCTCTCAGCAGAGCTGCTAAGCTGGGTCTTGCTTGATCTGTTTGTGCAACCTCTTTTGTATGTCTGCTCTTCTTGCCTGTCTTTTTCCTTTCTGGACTTACTCTGATCATAGAAGTAGAACTCTTCTTTCTCCTTATACCTGTATCTTTTGTTTTGTTTTGAGACATAGGGTCTCGCTATGTTGCCCAGGCTGGAGTACAGTGGCTATTGACGGACTTGATCATAGTGCACTATAATCTTGAACTCCTAGGCTTGAGTGATCCTCTTGCCTCAGCCTCTTGAGTAGCTACGACTAGAGGCATGTACCACTGTTCCCAGCTCCTTATAGCTATGTCTTACTTCAGAAAGAAGCTTATGTGCCAGACATTCTTCTTGGCACTGGGAATGCAACAGAGAACAAGATGGACACTGTCTCTATGCTCATTGAAGCATGTAGTTTAGCAGATCCTATTAGTCACTGCCGTTTGTTGGTAATGCCAAACACTGTTGGCTTTTTCATATATATTATCCCTAATCCCCCTTATAACTGTAAGGGAGGAGTTAATATTCTCATTTTATAGTTGGGAAAACTGAGATATTCCGTCTTTAATTCCTTTCCAAGAGAGGTCCAAGGAGGCAGCTCACCTACCCTCAGTCTCCAAAAAGCAACTCTGAGTTCTTAGCTTAGCCTATCTGTGCCTCAGCCCCTAGCACGAGATCGGGTGATATGTAGTCTGGGCTATTGTTCTTTTAGGATGGGACAGTCTGTCCCAGATAGCAGTCTTGATTCATTTCCTTCTGTCCTTCCAGCCGGAACCCACAGAGGAAGACATTGAAAAGAATCCAGAGCTGAAAAAGCTACAGATCTATGGGGCAGGCCCCAAGATGATGGGCCTGGGCCTCATGGCCAAGGATAAGACTCTGCGGAAGAAAGGTAAGGCCTAACTGGCCTAAGTGGCCTGACCTTGGGAGAGAAGTCAGGGCCCTAAGTGTCCTAGACCTGTGTTTACAGCCATTTTTCTCTCTCCCAGATAAGGAGGGACCTGAGTGTCCCCCCACAGTAGTGGTAAAGGAGGAGTTAGGTGGGGATATGAAGGACTCAACTTCGCCTAAGTCCTTCCTGGAGAGCAAGGAGGAGCTGAGTCACAGCCCAGAACCCTGCACCAAGATGACTATGAGGCTGCGGAGGAATCACAGCAATGCCCAGTTTGTAAGGACCCAGCCCTGACTTAATGCTCTGCTTCTTGTTTCTTCAATAAGCATTTCCCTGCATGGCACTGGACTAGTTCACATTAACCACAAAAGTGGGCTTCGTGGCCCTGCCCTCAGGTAGCTCACTTAATTGGGGAAACGAGGCCAACCCACATGGAACAAAGAACAAGAAAGGGTGATCAAGTGCTGTCAACATGAAGTGCTGGAAGGGTCCAGAGAAGGAGTGTCACTCCCTATTGCTTCAGGATAAAGGCTAAGCTCCTCATTACCATGCATGAGCCCGTCCCTGCTGACCTCTAGCCTCATCCCCCAGCACTGCCCACCTCACTCCTGCTATAGCCACACTGAACTACTTGTAGGTATGTTCATTTTCACCCACAAAATGCATTATGCTTTTTCGTCCCTGTCCTTTACATGTGTTGTTTCTTCAGCCTAGAAGAGATTCCCCCAGTGCTTTGCCCTATTGCAAAGTTTTGTTTTGCCTTCAGGTTTCAGCCAATTTCAAGTGTCACCTTTTCAATGAAGTTCTTAAGGCCATCTCTCCTTATCTCCAGCTTCTTTGAGTGCTTTCTTCTCTAGGCCCCCATAGTGCTCTTTATGGACAGCTATTGGCAGTTTTTAATTTTTACGAACACATGTCTCTAGAGTACTGTGTACACTTGGAAGGATACCATGTCTTACTTGTCTTTATGCTAGAGTCCAAGCGTAGGTACTAAACACAAGTTTAGTAAGTGTTCATTGAATGAATAAAAATGGGAGGCTTCAAGACTGGATGATAAAAGACTGCTCTCACAGCTCTACCTGCTTAGTTGGGGAGATGGTACATACATGCAGTTGAACTCCAGACCTAGCATGACTATCCCATATAGGGCTGTGAATCATTCAGCCAGCAAACACAGTGGATTTCCAATGGAGAACTTTTGCTTTCCTCCCCTGACAGATTGAGTCATATGTTTGCCGGATGTGTTCCCGAGGGGATGAGGATGACAAGCTCCTGCTGTGTGATGGCTGTGATGACAACTACCACATCTTCTGCCTGCTGCCTCCTCTGCCTGAGATCCCCAAGGGTGTTTGGCGGTGCCCAAAGTGTGTCATGGCGGTAAGGCCTCCCCACTCCACATCTACCTCATAGGGTTTCCTTGCCTTCCTTCATCTGGCCTTATTGAGGGCAGCCTCTTAGCTCAGCCATAGTCTTAGATTTTGGGTCTCTCTGGTGGGATTAGGCTGGGCAGAGTTTTGGGAGAAAGGAGCAAGAAATTCAGCCTTTGCTTCTGTCTTCTAAGAGCTCCCAGACCACCTGGAGAGGTAAGCATCACAATTGGACTGTATGTGGTGACATAAACAGAGGCTAAATTGTGTATTAGAAGCTCTGAGACACAGAAGTTCAGAGGAGAGGAAAACGTAATCAGGGAAGATGTCAGAAATGAGATTTGAAGGATAGGAATATTAAGAAAAAAATGTTCTTTCAATTTCTGAGTTTTTATTCTTTGTTTTCTTTTTTAGAAAGTTTGAGGCCAGGCATGGTGGTTCATGCCTGTAATCCTAGCAGTTTGGGAGGCCGAGGTGGGTGGATCGTTTGAGCCCAGAAGTTCGAGAGCAGCCTGGGCAACATGGCGAAACCCCATCTCTACCAAAAAAGATATAAAAATTAGCCAGGCATGGTGTCGCATGCCTCTTGTCCCAGCTACTTGGGAGGCAGAGGTGGGAAGATTGCTTGACCCCAGGAGGTGGAGGTTGCATTGAGCTGAGATCATGCCACTGCACTCCAGCCTGGGCAACAGAGTGAGACCCTGTCTCAAAAAAAAAAAAAAAAGGAAATTTTGGAAAATAGACAAATTACTTGTTTTCCCACCACCCAGTGATAACCATTGTTAATAGTCTGGTATATTTTTGTCTCATCTTTTTGCTGTTAATTATATGTAACCATCTTTAACAAATTTATGATCTTGTAATACATTTTCATTTGTTACTTTATAACTTTCTCTATATTATTAAATTTAAGGCATGGATTTTTTTTTTTTTTTTTTTTTTGATACGGGGTTTCACTCACGTTACCCAGGCTGGAGTGCAATGGCGCGATCTCGGCTCACCGCAACCTCCGCCTCCTAGGTTCAGGCAATTCTCCTGCCTCAGCCTCCTGAGTAGCTGGGATTACAGGCACGCGCCACCATGCCCAGCTAATTTTTTGTATTTTCAGTAGAGACGGGGTTTCACCATGTTGACGAGGATGGTCTCGATCTCTTGACCTCGTGATCCACCCGCCTCGGCCTCCCAAAGTGCTGGGATTACAGGCTTGAGCCACCGCGCCCAGCCTGGAATTTTTTTTAGACAGTGTATCATGGGTATAATATTTAGTTGTTTTCCTCTCGTGATATTTAGGTTGAGGCAGTGCTACAGGCTTTAACTAGATGAGGTGGGTAGCTGTTTGGGACTGGGAGGTGGAGAACTAGCAGGAGCAGAGGTATAGTGGGAGAGCAGGCCTAGTATGGGTATAGGGGCAGTAAGGAGAGCAGCTGAAGCAGCAGTAAGGGCCAAGTGGCCAGGAAGTTGGGCAGGTACATTTCGTGAATGTCCGACCTTCACCCAAATTCTTGGTGCTTATCTTCTACATTTCCCTCTGGATTTCTGGAGAGGAGACATTCATGATCTCTTGCGTTATCTTAGGGACTCAACTGTGGTTGTGGAGACTGGGTGTGTACGTGAATAAATACACACACACACACACACACACACACACACACACACACACACACACA